AGGGAAAGAACCAACAGAGACACCCATAAGGCGCAGAGCCAATATAGGTCAACCATTCCAGGTCTGAGGCCCGGTTTGTGTTTGACTAGAACCTCACAAGATTTTGTTCTAAATCAGAAACATTTTATGTTCTGAAACCACAATCACAATATGAAGTATAGCTAGTAACCCAAGTCAGAACATTTCAATATTTATTAAGACCAAATAACAACTCGAAAACTACAGCCATCAGAGTAACTGTCCCTTGAGTCTCTGGAAACAGTCCATAGCAGCAACAGCCCGCAGCCGGCACCGAGGCAGGCGGTCCCTGCCCTCCTCCGTAGTTGAGGACTGCTCCTATTTCTGCATCACCGTTCCGTCACAGCACAGGGTGCTGGCGTGAAGCCTCAGACTTTCCAAAACTGCACTACTCACGTCTTAGTCCTTTGCCCCACAGACCACTGAAGAGTGTGACCCTCCTTGCACGTATCTATGTCACTTTACTAGTACACTCAATTATAACCACGTTGGAGAAACTGGCTTTACTCTTTAAAGTAAATTAATGTGATGGGTTTTATATATATACATATTCAACTGATATATAATTGGGAAGTTGAAACAAAATTTCGTATTTTGGATATTGTCTTTCAGACATCTAACTTTGTCTAAATTTAAAAAAGAGAACATATTCTAATAGCCAAAGTCCTATAAATATTGCCTGTGTGAAAACAATGTGAAAAGATCAAAGTGTCTATTACACTTGGTAAGAGTGTAAACTCTGTGATCCTCAGGGGAAACAGGGACAAGTGTCCATTTCTGCCTGAGGAAAGCATCAGTCCCTCTCTCTGACACAACCCAGGACAGTGGTCTCATGCTGGGTATCAATGTAAAGAATGACAGGAATTATATTCTATGAGACCCACAAATGAGGATAATTTCCTACGAGACAGAAATGTACTTTCCAGAGACCTTTAAAGTTCTTTTTCTAAATCAAAGTGTCAGCCACTCCTACACAGTTCCTAAGCACCTATCACAGGATGGGCACCAGTGGCCACATACCTGAGTGTTAGTTGTCATGACCAATGTTCTGGAAGTAGTGGACTGAGGCTTGCCACTCGGCATGGGCAAGGCGGTCGGCAAGCTGGCCAGCAGGGGAGTGGGTGCTTGCAGACTGAACTGGTAAACGCTGGGCGTTGTGCAGGGTGGGGTGTCGGAATCCTGTGAGCAGAAAGAACAGGGAGGGCTGTACAGAGGCGACTTCTTAGGGTCACGAAAGAAATGCCTGCAGCATGCTTGCTATGCAAGGTTGCTAGAATCCGTCCATTACTGCTGCTCAACAACAGGCAGCCCAAAGCTGCTCATATTTGCTTCATTTCAAAACTGAAGGAAAATGTAAAGGAAATACAGAAAGGATGCCTAGACTTAATTGTTTTATTTCCAAATAAGTTTTAAAAAAACTATTCAAGGAAGTCCACTGTAATTCTACCGTCAATAGCATTACCATTTACAAGGGGCCACATGGGCCACTGAGAATGAGGCTCACAGCAGAGTGGGGACCACTCACTGCAGACCTAGGGTGGTGTCACATACACAGAGAGAGTGATAAAAACTCCCTGCTATGGATGCTTTCCACAGACACAGACCTCCCAGCTGACACACTCACAATGTCACTTCCAGAAAGTGAAGACACGGAAGATGCAGACGAGCCCGAGGAGAGAAGCTGGGGGCAGGGCAGAGACAAGGTCAGGTGCTGGGTGTAGGGTGGCTCTGGGTCTCGGCGCTGGGGCTGCTCCCCATCACAGGCGTTTATTCGCTCTTTTATCTTAATTCTATTGTCTGTGGAAGGGAAAACACAGCCTAGGTGAGTCATTTTTCTAGGAGCGCAGACATGTGGGCCTGATGGGATAGCCACCAGCCACAGATGTGACTGAGCCTTAAAATGATGCTAATGAGGCTGACAAATTGAATTTCTAATTCTATTTAATTTTAATTAATTTTTAAAATTATATTCTAGTTATTAGAAAACATTTAAATATATTTGAAACAACTTGCTATGTAAAGAGTTTTCAACTATACATTTAATGAAATCTAAATACAGATCAAATATTTCTGGTGGAAATTTAACATGCTAATTGGGATATGCTATAAATATAAATACACACTGGATTTCAGCTCTTGTATGAAAGAAGGTTCCAAAATATCTCAATAATTTTTATATTGATTACATTTTGAAATGTTAGTATTTGAACACTAAATTGAATAAATCATATTATCATGTTTTACATTTTTTAGGCAGTTACTAGAAACTTTAAAATTCCATGTGGCACACATTATATTTCTTCTGCGTAGTGCTGACCTAAGTCTTATAGTTTTAAATTAAACTCTTAAAGAAAAACTAGGTATTTTTCTCAGTGTGAACAATGTCCCAGGAAAGAACTAAGGGGATACTCCTGCAGGAATGGTCAGAAGGTGAAAGGTAACTGACTAAATTAGTTTCTCACCAAGGTCGGGAGGTGGGTGGACCTTGCTGCCCCACTTCTCCTTGATCCACCGCCGGTAGTCAATCACTTCCTGAGTTACCTTGACAATTCTTCCTAAAGTACTACAAAAGGACAAGGAGGGACATCAATATAGCACAACAGGACTGTGAAGCCATGAACCCTTTTCACTGGCTACTTACACTTTTAACAAAATATTGCTTTGCTAAGTGAAATACAGGAAAAAAGCTAAAATAAGTTTTAAAAATACATGGCTTCTGATGTTTGAGCCTAAATGTACTTTGAGATCACAGTAGAGTAAAAGTGGATTCACTTATGTAGAAGTTCTTGAACCTAAATGATCTGCAAAAGACTATTTAAATCCTATGCCTAAGTAGGGAAGTCCACCCTCCTCACCCACCATGATCACAAAGGTCTAAAATTCCCACTTCCCCTGCACAGTAAGAATGGGAGACAGTGCACCCACCAAGGGCCCCAAAGTGCTGCCTGAAAACACTGAGTGGACTGAGGCACAAAACCCATGGCAGGTCTACCACCACCAGCGCTGGGTCTCCAAACCTACGTATTCCATAACCCGCCCAAGGAACAGAGCCAATGGCACTTTCAACTACCACTTGTGACAATCATACTATTCTTCTTTTCATTCCCTACTCTCACTTCTCTCTCTCTGTCCCCCAGTCCCACCACCTCCACCACAACACCATAATCTTCAGGCAAATATAAATATTTCTCACTAGAAGTAGTGTATATTATAAGTGTTCCAGAATGGAGAATGATGGATAGTTGTGCCTGAGAGAGAAGGGATGGGGCATTTGGACTGGGATACACATTCATGTAGAGCCGACTACCCAACATTTTGAAGACTCCCTCAGAAAAAAGCATCAAGTTCCAAAGTTTTAAAAGCCAGAATCACCTCCCCCAAACAAAATATTCGGGGGGGTGGGGGGTGGGGGATGCTAGCTCCTCAAGTAAGAAGTTTTCAACTCTTATCCTTGGATGAATCAAATAGAGCCATCCTGAATTCCTAAAAGGTCTTCCTTTTCTGATATTTTCAAGTTTTACTAAAATTTGATGGCACATACATTAGAAAACTTCATGGAAACAAACGACAGAGGCTAATAACGGTGCAAGGACCATACCCTTCAGCTGTGAACCCAACAAAGGTGTCGAATGACTTCTGTTACCTTTCCGAATCTCTGTTTGGATAGGACCTTGCAAGCGGTGACACAGCATGGCTGAGTACAATGTACGCGTAATCAAAAACCTGCTTCACCTGCATGGCCCCATAGGAGCTCCGGCCAACATCATTTCCTGAAACAGAAAGGCAGCTGTAAAACTCTACCAAACATTTGAGCCATTATTGATGTTTATTTTCTCATATAAAGTTATTCTGAATCGGGCCCTCACCACTCAAACATATCCAGACCCCCAGAGCTAAGCCAGATCACGCACCTGCAAGCACACTTTAGTTAATCACCACATGGCATCCCACGTTGTTCTTGAGCTGAGGGGCCTGATCTGCATCATCAGATCAGAGTCTACCTCCATGAACAGAGAGATGTCACTCACAGAGACGGAGTGACCATTTATGAAAAAGTCAAGTAACTCCCCAGGAGGCAAAAAAACACAAGTGGGCGAAAGCAGCAACCTGAATCAGGCTGCCATCACACTGACTGAGAGCACACTGACTGCAGCAGGCAATTAACCTGAGGCCCACAGAGCAAATCCTCTCGGATAGAATGTTCAGGTCTGAACTCTGGATCTTGGGTAGTAAATCAAATAAAGCTGCCACTGAAGTCACCAAGCAAGTCATAGTCAAGGAGCTTAACCTTAATTTTAATTTATATGAAATTTCTTCACAAGTCAGATAAGGATTTTTTTTTAGAAGCTGTATTCTGAGTATTGGAACAGTATCTTTTCCATACTTAATTATATAATACTAGAGGCCTGGTGCACGAAATTCATGCACGGGTAGGGTCCCTAGGCCTGGCTGGTGATTAGGGCCCATCGGGGATTTCCTTCCCCAGGCTGCCGGATGGGGCCTTCCTTCATTCCATGCTGCTCCTGGTGGTCAGCACACATCATAGCAAGTGGTCAAAGTCCCGAGGGGACAATTTGCATATTAGCCTTTTATTATATAGGAACAGAGGCGGGGTGCATGAAATTTAGGCACCGGGTAGGGGGCAGAGGGGGTGAGGGGTTCCCTCAGCCCAGCCTGTGCCCTCTTGCAGTCGAAGAGCCCTCAGGGGGATGTCTGACTGCCGAGGAGGTGGGAGAGGCTCCCACCACTGCCACTGCGCTTGCAGCTGTCAGCCGGCTTGTGGCTGAGAGGAGCTCCCCCTGTGGGAGTGCACGGACTACCAGGGGGAAGCTCATGCGTTGAGCGTCTGCCCCCTGGTGGTCAGTGCGCATCATAGCGACTGTTCGTTCCAGGTCGTTCAGCCCTTAAGGTCAATTTGCATATTACCCTTTTATTATATAGGATAACCTAGTGATATAGTGGAGTTTTTGTTTTTTAAGTACATTTTAGCAAACACTGAAGACAATGTTTAACTTATTCTGTGTTTAACTTACAAACATGGACAGATGATGAAAACCTGCCACACCATGCTGCCGGGAAAATCACTACTGAAAAGGCATGGCATAAATCATGGCATTTACGAACAACAGAAGAGTATGTTTTCTTTAAAAAAATTTTAAGAAATAAATTTTGTACCCCAAAAGCCATAAAACAAAAATCATCAAATATGAGGACATTAAATAAATATATATATAGAAGCTAAACAATAAAAAATACCAAACCCAAAGAACGTATATGCATAACCCATGGACACAAACAGTAATGGGGTAAAGGTCTGGGGGGAGGGCAGGTGGGGGGTGGAGGGGGTCAATGGGGAAAAAGGGGGACATATGTAACAAATCTTTCAACAATAAGATAGATTAAAGACACACAAACAAACAAAAAAAAAACAAAATAAGG